GCCTTTGTACAATCGGTGGGATCAGTTGCAATGCATATATGTGAATGCAGTGGCGGACCCTGAGGGCCAGCAAGGCCTTCTCTGCTGGCCTAAACATTCTCAGAAAAGTTTCTGAGAATAACATTCATTCATTCATCTTCCGAACCGCTGGATCCTCACTAGGGTCGCGGGGGGTGCTGGAGCCTATCCCAGCTGTCATCGGGCAGTCGGCGGGGGACACCCTGAATCGGTTGCCAGCCAATCGCAGGGCACACAGAGACGAACAACCATCCACGCTCACATTCACACCTAGGGGCAACTTAGAGTGTTCAATCAGCCTACCATGCATGTTTTTGGAATGTGGGAGGAAACCGGAGTACCCGGAGAAAACCCACGCAGGCCCGGGGAGAACATGCAAACTCCACACAGGGAGGCCGGAGCTGGAATTAGGCTCCTGCAGCGCTTTGTGAAATTGTATATTTTGCTACAGTATTATCAGGCCAGCGGCCCGGTGGTCTACTGGTTAGCATGTCAGCCTCACAGTGCAGAGGTGCGAAGTTCAATTCCAGCTCCAGCCTTCCTGTGTGGAGTTTGCATGTTCTCCCCATGCCTGCTTGGGTACGCCTGTTTCCTCCCACATTCCAAAAACATGCATGGCAGGTTAATGGAGCACTCTAAATTGTCCTTAGGTGTGCGTGTGAGCGTTGATGGTTGTTTGTCTCTGTGTGCCCTGCGATTGGCTGGCAACCGGTTCAGGGTGTCCACCGCCTACTGCCCGAAGACGCCTGGGATAGGCACCAGCACACCCCGCGACCCTTGTGAGGATAAGCGTATCTGAAAATGGGTGGATGGATGGATTATTCGGCCAAATGCTTTTGGCCCTGTCCCCTCCGCAGTGCAGTAAATAACAATTTTGCTAACATTAGGACCGCTGGTGTCATTTTTGTCAACGTCCATTTACTTCTACATTGACTTCACTACTGAGGGCCGGTCAGAGACTGTGGGCAGGCCAGATATGGCCCCTAGGCTGCACTTTGCCGGGCTCTGCTTTAGTCATTTGACACGACTCTTTACATTTGCTTTTGTTTCACCTTTTCACCTCTGGCAAGTTCTACTGGATCATCAGGACTAGGGCAAAGTGGTCTTCTTGAAAAAGCCATAATAACAGAGGAATGCAGTCAAACGTGCATTGAATTCAGCCACATAAACAGTTGACAATCGAGTACATTGCAGCCATAGCACTTTATTACCGTACGTAAGCATGCTAAAGTGTGTCCGCCGTACCAGCAGGTGGCAGCAAGTATCTCTCTTTTTCCACAGGGCTGTAATTACGCTGTTTTCTATGTTATTGCTATTTATTATTTGTTATTTTCTACAAATATATTGCTAATGCTTTATTTATATTGCACTTATATTGAACTGTGTACAGTTCTTCTGAAAAATTTATTTTGTGCAATGAAACACTTTATTCCCCCCCCCATCTTGCTGCTGTAGACTGCATATTTCCCCAGTGTGGGACTAATAAAGGTTATCTTATCTTATCTTAATAATAGCTGTTCATTTCTAAACCACAGGAAGGACATGCTGCCAATTCTAATTAATGATCAGACCCTTTAAAAGTGTTACCGTAATTGCAGCTTTCACAGTGGTAGTCAGATGCTCCATGAGCCATTTGCAATAAATTCAACTCCTCTTTTGGGCCCTTTTAGTGAGTGCAGTTTACGAATGTTTGAATGGTCTCTCATGTCATAAACATTAAGCAGTGGTCACCCAGAGGGTTCCAAGATTAGAAAAATTAAAGCAACTCCATGTGAACATATCGGATCATAAATGCATTGCATGATGCTTTTGCGTTACTGATAATGTGAAATGTACGGAATAAGTGCTGCTTGACGAGCCTATACAGTATTGTGTTCATGTATGTGACGTCACTGAAGGCCTCAGGTTGAAATGCACGGCCCGCCACTGTGTGAATGATAAAAGTGAATTGCACATTTGTCTAAGGAAATCTAAGGAGCTTCATGAAATGTTTTGTAAAAGATCTGTTTATTAAATTTCAACATTTTCCTAAAGTTCTTGTGCTTCTTTGGACCAAAACAAAGGAAAGACATTATTTTGGTTATTTATAGCAGAGTATGGTATAATTTTAATGGTCCGGCCCACTTTACATCTACCGAGGCCGTATGTGGCCCACAATGTGAAATGAGTTTGACACCCCTGCTCTAGGGTTACCACAAGTGGAATATTTTTAACTCTCCTTGGACCCAATTTATTTACCAAAATCCCAGAATGAAACATGAAACTAAAGGCGGGGAATATTTTGATATGACATGCCTTGAAGATGAATGCATATTAGGCCCTCATCTGGTATGTCAAAAAATATCTATTGAGCGGCAGCATTGATTGTCAGAGAGCCAAGGGAAAAAAAAAAGACAACGGGAACTCAAATGTTTGAATGTACAGCTCACCTTGGTGCCATTCCTGACTGCAAATAAGATGAAACTGGAGTCATATGTTGCACCGAATGACCACATTTTTATGGTTCATGCGTGTGAAAAGTCAGTTCCTGTAATGTTGGGGCGGTAGTGCCAGAGAGCATCCAAGAAAAGATCCATCCTCTGCTGTGTCAGTCTTCATGACTCATTGATGTATTTTTGGGAAATTGACATCAGCCTCTATTTTGAATCTTTTTTTTTTCTAGCCCTGAATGTGGCAAAAGATGATGGTGATCTAATTGGAACCACGTCTCCTAAAAGGCATAGCCTGATGTCATCCAAGGTGGTGTCAGCTCTACTAACTGGCAAACTGACACATTTTGCTCTAATTGCTTAATGTTCTATTTCTGCGTTTTGCGCAGCCACACTGACTGGCCAAAATGAAATCAACTGAGGCCAAACGTTAGGCATGACCTGGCTGACATCTAGCGGGTGTTGCTTTTTCCAAAGTGACTTCAGTACTCACACAGTCTAGTACACCCAGACATCATTTCATTTTTGGGGACAGCATTGTGGTTTTCCACCACAAGAAGAGTGTGTTTATCTTTGCTGCTTGGGCCTCTGGGTTTTTCATGTCCCCCTACGTCACAGGTGTCAAACTCCAGTTCTCAATGGCCACTATTCTGCATATTTGAGAGTTTTAGCCTCCTCCAACAAGCCTGATTCAAATGATCAGCATCGTTATCAGGCTCCTGCAGCGCTTTGTGAAATTGTATATTTTGCTACAGTATTATCAGGCCAGCGGCCCGGTGGTCTACTGGTTAGCATGTCAGCCTCACAGTGCAGAGGTGCGAAGTTCAATTCCAGCTCCAGCCTTCCTGTGTGGAGTTTGCATGTTCTCCCCATGCCTGCTTGGGTACGCCTGTTTCCTCCCACATTCCAAAAACATGCATGGCAGGTTAATGGAGCACTCTAAATTGTCCTTAGGTGTGCGTGTGAGCGTTGATGGTTGTTTGTCTCTGTGTGCCCTGCGATTGGCTGGCAACCGGTTCAGGGTGTCCACCGCCTACTGCCCGAAGACGCCTGGGATAGGCACCAGCACACCCCGCGACCCTTGTGAGGATAAGCGTATCTGAAAATGGGTGGATGGATGGATTATTCGGCCAAATGCTTTTGGCCCTGTCCCCTCCGCAGTGCAGTAAATAACAATTTTGCTAACATTAGGACCGCTGGTGTCATTTTTGTCAACGTCCATTTACTTCTACATTGACTTCACTACTGAGGGCCGGTCAGAGACTGTGGGCAGGCCAGATATGGCCCCTAGGCTGCACTTTGCCGGGCTCTGCTTTAGTCATTTGACACGACTCTTTACATTTGCTTTTGTTTCACCTTTTCACCTCTGGCAAGTTCTACTGGATCATCAGGACTAGGGCAAAGTGGTCTTCTTGAAAAAGCCATAATAACAGAGGAATGCAGTCAAACGTGCATTGAATTCAGCCACATAAACAGTTGACAATCGAGTACATTGCAGCCATAGCACTTTATTACCGTACGTAAGCATGCTAAAGTGTGTCCGCCGTACCAGCAGGTGGCAGCAAGTATCTCTCTTTTTCCACAGGGCTGTAATTACGCTGTTTTCTATGTTATTGCTATTTATTATTTGTTATTTTCTACAAATATATTGCTAATGCTTTATTTATATTGCACTTATATTGAACTGTGTACAGTTCTTCTGAAAAATTTATTTTGTGCAATGAAACACTTTATTCCCCCCCCCATCTTGCTGCTGTAGACTGCATATTTCCCCAGTGTGGGACTAATAAAGGTTATCTTATCTTATCTTAATAATAGCTGTTCATTTCTAAACCACAGGAAGGACATGCTGCCAATTCTAATTAATGATCAGACCCTTTAAAAGTGTTACCGTAATTGCAGCTTTCACAGTGGTAGTCAGATGCTCCATGAGCCATTTGCAATAAATTCAACTCCTCTTTTGGGCCCTTTTAGTGAGTGCAGTTTACGAATGTTTGAATGGTCTCTCATGTCATAAACATTAAGCAGTGGTCACCCAGAGGGTTCCAAGATTAGAAAAATTAAAGCAACTCCATGTGAACATATCGGATCATAAATGCATTGCATGATGCTTTTGCGTTACTGATAATGTGAAATGTACGGAATCTATCAGTCTACTATCTATCACAAATTCTCCTGCTTCTGCTCAAGGAGTATTCCTATGTGGGATACAGTTCAGCAATAACGTATTACCTGATTGCTTTAAAGGGTCATCAGGGAAGTAGTGTGGGCGTGACAGAAAAATGCTATAAACTGTAATTGGTGTCTGGGGGTGTGAATGCAGCAAGCTGGAGACAATTCCCCATCTACACCATCTGATGCATGTAGCTCCTAACGAAATCTCTCCTTTATTGTTTGCTTTCAAATGACAGTAGACATACAGTATTTGTGTGAGATTTTGCCATTAAAGGTTGACAATCACACTCCACGGTTCTTTCCCAAACTCTCCTGTTATCATCTCAGGCTCATGTGCAACCATGAGGGCAAGTGCGAAAAAAAATGGATCCATTTTTGTTTTCCTCCAGTGCAAAGGAACCTTTATTGCCATTGACAGAGGGGACTAAACTTTATGGATCTTTCCACAGTATATTGTCTTCCAGTCGAGGTTTAAACAGTCCAGCAGCACTTTTTGCCGACGATGACCCTTCACATTTGCAGTCAGGCAGGTCTAAATAGCTTTTATCTGAACAATTAGGCCAAAAAGCACGTCCACTTTCATCAGTCGGACTCTTGGTACTGCAACGTGTGCTCCCATTGAAATCAATGTCATGGCATATTCCCTAGTAAACAGTACGACACATCCATAAAGCCTCAGGCATGGCTTGTACAAGGATACACTCACAGAAACACTTGATACAACTTGGAAAACCACTGCACACAGAGCTTGCACAACAGATTTCTTTTTATCATGGTAGTTCTCTGTGCACATTTCTTTGTTCAGGTTGCAATTTCAGTTGCATCACCATTTAGCTTGAAACGGAATGGGCCACAGGACAAGAAACAACCAGTTGTGACATTTGCCAGGGAATGCTTTGGATGACAATAACTATTGGAATCAATTGCATGGAAGAGATTGATGATGATTTCAAATTAATTATATAATAATTATTATTATTATCATTATTATAATAGAAATAAATATTGCACTTTGGATCTACTCACGGGGGAGTGGGGAGGGTGGTAAATTGAGCAGGAACAAGTCAAAGCTAACGCTCAGAGCACTTGCACTGTTGTCATGGAAGCGCCATTACAGATACCCAGTGCATGACCACAGAAGGACATTTTGTGGTGGATTTTACTTTGGACACATTCTAAGAAGCTGTAAACAGAGAACACCTATTGAATACAGCTTTATTTCCTTGCTTGAGGGTGCGTCTGTCATGTCCAACTGTAGGATTATTTGGAACCTTACGAGTATATTTGCACCATGGGGTAAATAAGTACTGCAGTAATTCAAATCATATCTTTGGTTCAAAATTGTAAAAATATATTTAAAATGTGTGTGCAATGACACCTGCACAACCTCCTTCATGATATAATCTAACATATTGGATTTTAATTACACATTTCATTTTCAATAAATATTTTTTTTTCTCCATCACTGTGACAAGACAATAGAAGTGATAGATTTAAAAAAAAAAATCCAAACTGTGTATACCTTTGTTGGAGATCAGTGTGTTATTGCATGTTTGGTAGTGAGCGTGTATGTAGTGGCGATGACACATTTGCAAGTATTACAGATAACCACATTGTTACAAGAATTTCACTCTTAGGTATCAGTCATGCAAAACAAAAATAAATATCTATGGTTATATGTACGAAAATAATAACCAAAGCCATACCGTATGAATATTAAGAACTACCGTATGTTCCACAGTTTGAACACTACTGAAAGATACAAGGCCAAGTATAAAACAGAAAAGGTTCAAATTAAAGGCTCACAGCTGGTCAAACAAGTAGCACAGAGCGGCACTGAACTCAGTGTAGGCACAATCTGCTTCTTACATCATCCACAGCAGCTCTAAAGAAAATCCACAGCTATTGAAACATAGGTGACCGATACAAGCGCACAAATCAACAAATAGACAGTACATTAGAACTCTGCATAGAGTTAAAAAGACAGTCCAGGGCACCATTCGGCTGCAATGAGCCGAGCACCCCGTCCCCCAGTTGTGATCCTAGCTATCGGCATCCACACACGTTTGTGTTCATCTTAAGGTTGATTCTGAGAGCTCCCTGCGTCTCCTCCTGGCTCACTCAGTTGGCCTGCACGGGTTTCGGACCCACAGCCACACCATTACAGTCGAGGATGTACTGCAGACAACCTTGAGGGGGACGGCAGGCACCGTTCTTCATGCTCTCACCGATTATATCCCCTTTCTGCCCTGTACCCTGACAGGATCAAAAACATTTTCTCAGTGTAAGAAATGATATTATATATCAGCCACTATCTGCAAGTACACTGACAAAAAAAAACAACTTGCATTTTTTTTTGCACTAAAACAGCAATTTGAATTGGAGCAACTTTAAAATGTAAGTGTGACATTTTTGACAACAATGTTAGCACAACAAAGCAAACAAGTAGTCTGCTTCCAAACAATTTGCTGAGTTGTTTTGACTTTTATCTTTAACATGGGCAGCCAATACAAGTGCCAGCAGTTTAAGCAGTTCTGTGAACCGTAAATATTTAGTGAATTGCCCAATTTAAAATTTTATCACGGTTAGCTGCCTTGAAATTTTGAGTGCACCTATGTTTTTTTTTTTTTTACAGTGTGTATGCGAGATTATCTCCTGGGACGGTTGTGTGGTCATGGGTTTTCGGGGAGTGTTTGCCTCCCTCTCCACCATCTGATTCATTTTAGTCAGCACCACATCAGAAATGAGCTGTCTGTCCTCGGATTGGTGCTCCCCCACCAGGGGCATGGATGAGCCCACCACCTGCATCACATTGAGTGGATATGTCATCCGTTCCCCTTTATCCACATGAAAAATCTTATCACGTGGCTGAGAACTTGAAACACTTCATAAGGAGCAACAACAACAACAAAAATTCAATTTTGCAGGGGATCTGACTGAAGACGTGAGAAGTATATTTGAAAGGAACTTGGATCTCATACTTAGAGGGGCAGATTGTCCGATAATTCCTACACTGTATGTGAACTTGTACATCGTAAGTCATTCTTATTAACTCTCGAGGCACCTCGACATTTGGTGCACGTTTAACCTCTAAAGGACCCAAAATGGTCCAAGTGTGGGACAATATCATACACTGTATCAGATGTTTGCAATAACTTCCCGATATAACCGTAGGTATAGTTTGTAAATTAAAAAAAGAAAAATAAAACATAACCTCATCCTATTATGCTACAGCCTCAGTGGCATGGTGAATGAGTGGTTAACCCATCTTCCTCTACGGTTCTGAGTTTGCAGGTTCAAATTTGGATTCTGGCTTTCCTGTGTGGAGTTTGCATCTAGTCCTCAGACTTGCTTGGGTTTGAAAAGGATTCTGCTCCTACATTGCTAAAGCAGTTTACAAGAACACCGTTTTTGGATGGATTCATTGGAGGTTCAAGAATTTTAATTATAACAAACATTAGATGTTTCATAATCCGGCTATGTGGCTTCCCCCTGTGTTTGACTCAATTGCATTTCCTAGCACAGCTTGTTGATTTGCTCAGAAAGATTCTCAACATGTCCTGTCAGTTGTGGCAGTCCTACCTCTGTGATGTAATCTCTTCCATCCTTCCCGTGAATGGCCTTGACTGCACAAATATCCAGACCCCCGAAAATCTCTGAGCACGTGTCAACCCACAGCTTGTATCTGAAAGGCATCAAGGAGACACAACTCAAAATGTCACTCAAGTAACTGAAGCTCGAGTTTCTGACTACAATCTAGCTTCATTTTCGAATCATACTCTTGAAGAGCAAATTTAAATCAGGGATGGCTTTGTGTGTTCCTCAACGTATTTCTGGGTCGTGGGTTCGATCCCGGCTCCAGCCTTCCTCTGTGGAGTTTTCATGTTCTCCCCGTGCCTGCGTGCGTTTTCTCCAAGTACCCCGGTTTCCTCCCACATTCCAAAAACATGCATGGCAGGCTGATTGAACACTCCAAATTGTCCCGAGGTGTGATTATAAGTGTGAATGTTTGTTTGTCTATGTATGCCCTGCGTTGTGCTGGCAACCAGTTCAGGGTGTCCCCTGCCTACTGCCCGAAGACAGCTGGGATAGGCTCCAGCACCCCCGCTACCGTTGTGAGGATAAAGCTATTTTCTTTTTTTTTTTCTTCCTTAGTTAGGTTGACCTATAAAAGCTTGTGCAAGACAGACTACATAACCCTTAATTCATAAAGATTAGTGCTAGAGGAAAAAAAAAAAACGAAGGCAGATTGGGCATCAACACAAAAATAAAAATCACCAAAAAAGTTTACTTGAATCTACACTTTAAAAAATTTCGAAAAAAACGTTGTCCTGCTGTGTAATGTGCAAGTATCTGTACATCAATTGTGTTTTCTCACAGAAAAAAAACCCAAAAACATTTTCTACATGGCCATCTTTGGGTTGAAGAGTTGGCTTCATTTTTGAACACCCACTTGTCAGTCATGGCCACCTGTTCCAGCATCGCCGAGCCGGTGTTGGTCTTCCAGTTGCCTGACATAGATGTTCTCCTGGGGTGTGAAGGCCGAAACATTAGAACAATTCCCATCCCATCCCCTTTTTTTAATTTGAGCTATACAAGCGGAGTCGAACCTACATGTAGGCTTTGTAGTCTGCGCCGATCTTCTGGATCCTGATGTCATACTTGGACTCAATGAGAGGCTCAGTGGTGCTGTATGTCTGGGTGAGAGCCACGACACTGGCTATGTCCTGGAACTTACTGTGATTGTCAACCTTTACCTGCAAAACCACACACAAATAGTTCCAATGTCAAATGTTTACAGCGCATCACCCCCCTTGCCCCCAATTCAATTAAATAATAATGCAGTGTCTTAAACTGTGTAACGGCCAAACCTTTCCAATGCCAGAGTGGGCGTGTCCAATCTTGACAACCACAGGGAAGGACGGCAAGCTCGCCTATAAGGAATGAAAGGTATCATTTGAGTGTTCGGATTGGTGGCAAGATAATGGTGAGTGTCACATCACGATACAAGAAAGGGTTGCGGCTCTTGTCACCATCTCTTTGTAGTTTGGGTAAAAGGTCTGCTCAATCAGTGGAAACTTATCAGCACCCAACTTCCTGAATGTGTTAATCAGCTGAGCAAACTGGACACAGGGAGAAATAAAGACAATATTTTTAAAAGTCAGACAAACCACAGCAAAACGATCTCACTGCTGCTCTGCTCTACGGCAATGGCGTGCATCACTGCTGAAGGGCCTTACCGCCCAGGGCTTGTCACACAGATTGTAGATGGACTCCAATGAGTTAATGCTTGGAACACCTCCGTACTGCAGACCGATTACGAGGTTGCGGAAATCTTCATTCTGGGTCATACTGAAGGCGTGCTGGCGAATAAGCACAAAGTCTGGCTTAAATGACCTAGAAAATAAGAGAGACCAATGTGACCACAGTTAGTCGACACGGACAAAACAAGGTCACCAGCACTATATTTCGAGCTCTGTGGTAAATTCTCATACCTGACAACCTTGGTGCCATTTCTGAAAACCTGCATCGTAACACTGCATGTCCCATTGGCCTGAGCCATGATGCTGAGCTCACTGAATTCCGCCTGAAGAGTTCATGGTGACATTGGCACTTGAGGAGTGACTTCTCAACATTTTCTTTTTTTCCAGACAGAAAGATGGAGACAAACTGACCTGTTCCACTTTGATGTCATAGTCTCCATAGATTTTCTTGCCTCTGAATAACTTGGCCCTGAGTTGAAACACATGGCAAAAATGAAGAACTATGAAAAACAACTTACCATAGTTATGACATCTTATAGTGGACCACAGCAAATATAACATGAACAATTATTTCAGCTCATTTCAACCGGCAAAAAGAAGAAATTGCATGGGTTCATACGCAAAATTCCACACATTAAAACAATCATATTTGCAGTCCATGCTTATAGTCAGGAATAATGGTTTCTCCGCTCGCTGGCCATTGTATTGTCATTTGTCGGGGTAAAATTATTTAGCCACTGTTAAATTTGGGTCAAATTACCCTCTCATTCTGTATACAACATGCCTGCACGTTGTATACAGAATGAGTGAGTGATTCAGAATATCCAGTGTTAAATAGTCCCACGCAGAAGTGGCAGTGGAAGAGAGGAAGACACAAGAATTCAAGGCCAGTCAAGTCGTGTTGATGGTGGTGCGAACACAACATGGAGGCCTTCCTGTCTGGTCCACCAAGATCGACCACCAGAGCAGGCGACTGTAAGTAATGGCAAAAGATGTCTTGCCTTTTTTACAGACCAATCCACCAGTGCAATGATTTGGAAAATTTTATTTCAATGTACAATATGAAATGCATTTATTTGCTCTTTAGTCCGATCAGATTTCAGAGCATACAGAATTTGTTTTGAGGGTGATGGAATGAGGCCAAATTCCCAATGTGGACTGTTATGTAACTTTAGAAAACGCTGCACCTTTCACGATTAGTGAATCGGGTTACTGCGTATTTGCAGATAAACATACATATCTTTTTGAGAATAATTTAGATGGACAAATCTTCCGTATTGCAAATGACAGTACAAAATAAGGACCTTTCCTAGAGATTAAAATTAGTCAAAATATACAAAAAGCCACAAGGAGAGTGTCAAATTGTACTGTACGTATCTTTGGCTTGATGTACAGTCGATACATGGGACCCAAATGCAGAGGCGATTCTGCAGCTGCTTGAGAGGCGCCATCAAGTGGTTCATTTCGGTATAATTGCGATCGCCTTTTGAAAGTGCATCCCATTTATCCATCCATGCATTCATTTTCCGATCCGCTTATCCTCACAAGGGTCGCGGGGGGTGCTGGAGCCTATCCCAGCCGTCTTCAGGCAGTAGGCGGGGTACACCCTGAACCGGTTGCCAGCCAATTGCAGGGCACACAGAGCCATACAACCATCCGCAGTCACACTCACACCTCAGGACAATTTAGAGTCTTCAATCAGCTTGCTATGCATGTTTTTGGAATGTGGGAGGAAACCAGAGCACCCGGAGAAAACCCACGCAGGCCCGGGGAGAACATGCAAACTCCACACAGGTAGGCCAGAGCTGGAATTGAACCCGGTACCTCTGCACTGTGAGGTCGACGTGCTAACCACTGGACTACTGGGCTGCCTGCATCCCATTTATTTTTCTGCAAATCGTGCAAAGCAGGGGTCATCAGTCCTGTTCCTCGAGGACTGCCGTCCTGTCTATTTTGCACCTCTCCCTGCAACAAACCTGAATCAAATGATCAATCCGCAAGGTCTGCAGATAATGATCCTAAACATCTGAATCAAGCATCTTGCAGCACGAGAGAGGGAAAACAGCCAGGACAGCGGCCCCTGAGGAACAGGATTGATGACCCCTGGTGCAAAGTAATGAAAAGGAGTTTATTTTTTTGGGATGTCTTTTTTTCGTACAGAATAAGTATGTTGTAAGATAAACGACACACACACTACCACCTTCACCAGCAGTGAAGGTGGTCGTGCATGTTTACTGTTCACCACACCCTTCGCTACAGATTTCCCTGCTTGAAACTGCACTTACAACTCATTGTTACGCTTGTCGTTTTAATGAATCCCCAAATGTGGTGATCTGTATTTACAAAGAGTAAAGAGGAGCCGGAAGGAAAAGTGCCACTTTAATGTTCTCCTCTTGCTATAGGGGAGATTTTTCAGAAGGTTTCCATCTTTTGCGTACAGATGAGCACTGACAAAAGCTCTCATAGGAAATATTATGTAATCCTTATCCATAAGATGCGTCAGAAAAAAATGTTATCTGTTCTGGGAGTGCTCATGATCCGCTGTCATGGACTCTGCTCTTCCTGCCTAATTACTGTGGTTCTAAAGCTGAATAATTCATTCAGAAAATAATTGCAGTGTGGAGATTTGTTTGACTTTGGCAGAAAACAAACCTGAAACAGGGAATCATTCGGGGTAAAACAAACAAACAAACAAACAAACAAACAAACAAACAAACAAACAAACAAACAAACAAAAAACCTACTGTTCGTGGGGAATTAAATAGATAAGAAACAGACCGTGTAAGTTCTAAAACTATGAAACACAGTGATAATGTATGGCAAAGCCTGTTATTTCTGCTCAGCAAAGGAATTATTTCATTCTGCACTTCTGAACACAGATAGGGCCAAAAGTAAGGTAGAAATCGTTTCCAAAAATGCTGCTTTCAAGTTTAGCCACTTATTTAGCCATCGAACAATATTACATTTCTTTGCCTTGGTTTTCTTTTGCAATATGTTCAGTGTATGTGATGATGATATGATATGTTCAGTATGCATCTGCGCTGTCCATTTTTTTTGGGGGGTGGGGGGGGCTTCAATGTGAGCAGACTGAAAACTCCAATATACCTCACGTTTATCACATCACATCACCGGGTACTGAATAGTTTGAAAAAATAAGACCGTGCCATTAGCAGTCAGAGGAGGAAGAGCGTTAACTCATCAAGAAGGGTGGAGGAAAAAAAAAGAATAATGACTGAATAATTCTTTTTTCCCCATTTCAATTATCTTATTGTCTTCTGAAATCCATTAAGGATCTCATAGTCAAAAATGCTAAATTTGTGTGTTTCCTGTTCCAATACACAAGTTCACACATGGCAACACCCACCACCACCATCTGTTGTACTACAACAGAGATGCTGATTGTCAAGTGTCTATTTCTCACTTCTCCAATACACTATCAGACAATTGGACATGCATTCTGATTTTCCAAAGTCAGGCGGATGAAATTAATGTTTTTTTTGTTCGCTATTTCGTTTTGCTGATTGCATAAAACCACTGACAAAGCGTGAGGTGAGGCAGACCGGATTGCACAAATCATATTGAGCCCCTGAAAATGGGGGTGCAATGCAGAAAAGGGCCAATTCTTTCAATTCCTGTTACGAACCTGACTGCATGCAGGAAGAACATCACCCAGTGTATTAATATTCACCACATGACTAAAAGCAACCTTGGTCCAAGCTTTCTCACTCTCCTCGTCATGGCTGACATCCAAAAACCATTCAAGGGGTTATATCGCCGATATATTTCTCTACATGCTGCTTGCGCTGAATTTTCTCCTGCATGGTGCCGAAGGCGCCTTTTGCATGGACGCCAGGGGAGAGGAGAGAGCACGATTGCAGCTGTTTACTTGCATTATTTATTTGTTGGAAGAATCAATACGGCTTCATTTGACCTGAATCAAACGTGAGATCATAAACAAAAGGAGCTGGGACATGATTTATCGTGGTTTTATGAGTACATTTGACAATCCAGATAATCAAATTATGCAATTTAATTAAAGGTTCTTATGATCTAGTACTGACATAATTCCTAGGAGGGGTTGGTCAGTGAGGATTTTGGCCGAGGTGTAAAACAACGCACTTAGCCTATCGACCATTAACTCTTAAGCATGAGTATTGGTTGGATGAAGTCAAACTTGATTTCAGCCAACAAACTCCTCTGCGACATGATCAAAATGCTGCAGTCTCGTTTTCCCCCTCATTGTGTTGTGTATAAGAAAAAATAAATACCAACATTGGCAATCAGTTTAATGCTAAGTGAAAGAGAAACATGTTCTCCTCCCACCACAAGAGCAATTTATAGCACAGTCTTCCTGGAACAAAACAATGATCCGTAGATGACTTGCAGAATAATCTGAGCTCATAATTTGATCCAAAGGGATTTTATCTTGACGACAGACTGCTTAACTACATCACTATGAATAACAATATCTTGCGGTTTGTCCAAACAGTATATCTAATTACAAAGCGCCACAGTTAGGAGTGTATGCTGCCTGTTACAGAACAACAATATAGCTAGAGCCAGAAAAAGCCTTTTTTTTTTAAAAAATGGGAAACTGGATTGATGATTATTCAGAATCACCAGTTTATGTAATGTCACTGTGAATCATAGGGCTTTGTTATAATTATGATCTACGATTGATAATAGGGCATTTTGCCACAAAACCCTTTCAGAAAATCGATTTGGCTGAATGGAAGCCTACAGTGTGGTGGATTTTAAACCGAGCAGGTCTCATTTTGCATCAGCCTAATGACACACGGCACCGCACAAGTGTGCCAGCATTACACAGAACTCAGCAAAAGTAATAAAAATAGATTCCTTCACCCCAATGCCTTTGCCAGCAGCTATATGTACCGCGCTTTCCGTCCTGCTAGTGTACGACCAGAATACAAAGTACTGCTTAAATGTGTCTGAATGAACGTTACTCAAGCCATTTTAAGACAACAGTTTACCGAAACGAATAAACCCAACGCTGCCCTTGCAATACAATGCACAGAGAATGATGTGCAAATGGAAGAAACTGAGGCAGACTTCGAGGCTAGCATACTGTGTGCACCGGGTTAAAGGTCTCACAAACAGCACCAGCATAGATGTAACCAGGTGACTCGACATGAAGGACTCCCGCTCTGAAATGCTGAGCGCCCATGAAAAATAGATGAGGAGAGGAAGTCAGTGAATGGAGTACGCACATCTCATCCCCCAAGTGTGCTTAGTATGGGGGATAGAAAAACAAATAGCTGTATAAATTGTATGGAGTATGTTGTAAAAAGACAAAGACATTTATCTCACCAACTAAAGTGACTCATTTTGAGCTGAAGCATTCAGAAATGTGCTTTGATTTCGGTGTGCCGTGTTGGCTTCAATGTACGGTGGATAAAAGTCGAAAGGAAGTCTGATGGAAAGCAATAAAAGGAAAAGGTCAAGAAAATCCTAAAAGAGTAGTTTGAATTTAAAATGGTTGCTGACTCCCATTTAACATTAGTTTGAATGTGAATGTGAAGTCGCTTCAGCATTTTACTTGTCTAAAATATAATGATGAAGGATTTTTTTCAGCCCCCAATCCCCAAGTATCGGTCGAGCCCCCCTTAAAACCCCTGGGAGAGAAATAATCCTGGAGCCGTTCCTGCACTTGTGAAACCACCCACTTGTTTATTTTTGCTTCCCTTGAAAAAGCGGAAGCATTTTTTAGTTTTTTAAGAAGTTACAGTACTTGTCACATTACATGTGGAAAGAGTGTTGAAATGATTTTCTCTTTGTTTTATTCTTTATCTTTCATCACAAAAAACGGACATCTTGGAGCCATTGTACAGTATGGATACTGTATTATTCCCTTCTCCTCAGCATGAGTGTGGCTTTCGTCTCGCAGCCAAATTGTAGCTAGCTAATGCACAAGGTTGGCCTGATCTTATTAACATTGATCCAGGTTTGTTCAAGACAAATGTTCTCCTCTGCTAACAGGGAGACTGCTCCTCAGCCTCAATCAAGCTGCTTCCTCACATTTTCAAGACATGCCGTGGTCTGAATGCCATCCTATTGTAAGGTCAAAATAACTGTAAAAAAAAGAAAAAAAAAAAAGAAAAAAAGCCAGACTACAAATTATTGTCATGCTGACATCCTTCCTTCTGGATTGCACATCTACAGTTTGTGCTAAGTGATGCAGTAAAAGAGAGGGCGATAAAACGATGGTACGTTTGTAAAAGTACAGTATCGTGCTGCAGTGTGGTGTGTGCTTTTTGTATGTCATGCGGAGCAGGTCATGTGGTCTGTGTGGAGGGAAACCCCATTGATGGGCACAAGCACTGCAGTATTTTATCTTGTTGCAAGCATCGATGCAACCTGTGGAGCATCCATTTTAAAAACAGACATGGTAGTGAATGGGTTAGAAGACTGCAGAAAATCACCAGAATGGCATAGGAAAAAAAGCTCCTCAATCTTGATGTCATTGGTAGTGAGATGAGAATCGATTTGCATTCTCGTGCCAGCACGCATTAAAGAACGAGACCATCTTGCACTACCTGAGTGGGCTGCTGAAGACAGAGAAATGCATTTGTCTTACCACTCTTGCTGCGGTTCGTCGATGACCAGCAGAATCTTGAACTTCTTGGGTGTCGTGACTGAGCTTTGCTCCACTAGCCCCGCTGAGGCGGCCGTCTGCTTGACGACGTTGGTGATGGAGCTGAAGAAACCAGCTCCGCTCGATTGAGGTGGCGGAGCTTTTTTCTCCTGAGCAGGGGAAGCGGCTGGAGGCGTGGGCCCGGCTGTGGGGGACTTGGCAGGGACGGCGTTGGCGGCTGGAGGAGGCTGAGCAGGATCAGGCCTCTGGAGGTCCGTCATGTAGCCATTGGGCAGGTTGGAGATAAAAGTGCTGTCCGAGAGACGCCGTCGCAAATAATTCATGGCTGGAGCTGGAGAAGGAATCGGCGGTGGGTTGTGGAAAAGCTCTCCCTCTGCTTACTGCACAGCTGACAACGGCTGAGCTCTCAGCGTAAATTCCCAGTGAATGTGCTCCCTTCCAGCTTGCTGGAACATCCTCAGAGCTCCCACTCACTGGCGGTGACGTTACAGCCTCGCTCAGCCAATCTCCTCACTCGGCACCCTCCTCAGCCATTGCACAGGATGCTGAAGCTGTGCCACTCCTCTTCTCCCTCTCTGCATAGTGTGCTTCTTTGCTACCCCTCCCCCCGCCTTATGCTGCCTATCACGCATGTTTTCCTTTTTGTTTTCTTTTCTTTTTTTTCACCCCAGCTGTAGGAAATAAAAGTGTTTCGAGTGGAAGTGTGGATGTGTTAGGCGAACACTCAGTATCGCGCCTCTCCCTGTGTCCTTAGCTGACATTTGTGTATGCCTGTCAAGCTCAGATATGCAATCTAAAATGGCTGGTCGGATATGTGGCCACTGCCCTGTGCCGTAGTCGCCCACCGAGACACAAATGCAGATTAGGGTGTCATGTTATTGATGCCGTTCTTCTAAATGAAACAATAAGCAACTCTATTGACTGTGTTTATACAAAGTCTGAAGATGAAATTAAACTGATCTGGTGAAAGCACCTCTGGCAATTATGTTACCAAGGCGAAGAAGGTACAGATCAATAAATCAATAAACTGTAAGCCTTACACGTTTCTAAAGGCTCAACTGAGATTGATAGAACAACAAGAAAGTGTCCTCCAAAAAGGTGCACAGCTGAGGCATAAATGAGTGCATGAGATTTTATACACACTCACTGGTAACAACATTAAACAAAAAGAGCACAACGTCATAGAATCCAATTTAGGAGTTTAAAAATGCCTTTGCAAAACCATCAATGCTCAGTTTAGGTCGACAGTTATTCAGTTAACAATGTTTATAATTGCTTAAATTCCGTATAAAGGATTATTTCAAGGGCGGCCTGGTGGGCGACGAGGAGGCACGTCTGCCTCACAGTGCGGAGGGGCAGGGTTCGATTCTGGTTCCGGCCTCCCTGTGTGGAGTTTGCATTTTTTTCCCCGTGACTGCGTGGGTTTTCCCCGGGTACTCCGGTTTCCTCGCACATTCCCAAAACATGCATGGCAAGCTGATTGAACACTCCAAGTTGTCCCTAGGTGTGATTGTGAGCGTGGATGGTTATTTGTCTGTGTATGCCCGGCGATTGGCTGGTGACCGGTTCAGGGTGTCCCCCGCCTACTGCCCGAAGACGGCTGGGATAGGCTCCAGCACCTGCCTACCTGGATGTATTAGATGGATGTTTTCTGTACATTTTAGGTCAGTACCCTAAAGTAACACAGACTTATAAAATCGCAGTGGTGCAGCCTATTCAGGCAGACGGGGCACAGCACACCCTTTTCTGATTGCCAGCCAATCGCAGGGGCAAGGCACACATAGACGAACAACCATTCACACTCATAGTCGCACCTAAGTACAATATAGAGTATTCACTTAACTCACCAAGCATGCTTTTGGAATGTGGGAGGAAATGGGAGTACTTGGAGAAAACCCGTGTACCTGTACGCATGGGGGAAACATGCAAACTTCATACAGAAAGGCCGGGGCCGGCTTCGAACCCACAACCTCTGCACTCTGAGGCAGATGTGCAAACCAGTCTTCCACCATGCTGCCCTCCCATTCATTCAAATCATATCCGAAAAGCTCAATGACACAAAAGTCTCTTAATTCTGCACAATTCTAAGTGTTTCTGCTTATTTAGTGTTGTTCCTGCTTATTTTACGAGTCTGTGTGTAGGATTGGTTTCTGTGTGCTTCTTTAACACCCCCCCCCCCAAAAAAAAAAGAATACACATGTGTGCTCGCTATGGTGTGAAAGTAATGATTGTGATTGAATTTGAGTGTAAATATTGACGATCCATCCCTCAATTTTTGATTCTGCTTAACCTTATGAGGGTCTCAGGCATGCTGGAGCCTATCCCAGCTGTCTTTGGGCAGATGGCGGGGGACACCCTGAACCGGTTGCCAGCTAATCGCAAGAGAATTGAATGTTGGTTACTTAAATCAGATTTTTTTTTTAGAGAATGCATTTAGACCAATTATAACAATTATTCTTTAAATGTCCAATTAGCCTGACAAAAAAAGCGCTTGTTGCAGGATATCAAGGGGTCTTAAGAACACTACATCCATATGAAAATGGCGGAAAAATTCCAAATATCAACATTTTCACTTGTGTAGGAGGGTGGCCGGGGTGGCCCGAGCCTTCTCTGTAGCATACCCTCACACCTGCCCGCATATACGTGAAGTATCTTTTTGCGTTTTTTCATTGGTGAAGAAAACACTTAACACCCATGAAATTCAAAATGTTGCGGTGATCATTTTTAATATTTTCAGAGGGCATGAGTAGAGATGTGCCCATGATTTTTGGTGATGACTGATCATGGGTTTTGGACATGAATACTGAATACGTAAAGCGTATTTATTTATTTAACCATTCAAGCGTTTTAGACTGACACACATAATTCACTTTTGTATCCACTTTTTGCGACATTTTTGTTCAGTGTTGTCACTGGGATTTTTTATGTGATTTAGATCAATCAAGGTTGGGAAACACTGGAGTAGTGTAATTGACCAAACCAGACATAACGTTAGGTACACTTTATGTTAGGTACAATTTATGAGACCAGTTCATGAGCTGTGATAAAAATTATTCCTCAAGTGTAGCCGCAACTCATTTTAACCTCTTATTTGAGCAGCAGGTTATATTAGTAACTATAACAATCACAGGGAAAGTCCAATTGTGAGGAAGCTGTGCGGTTTCTCCTGTAGTACAGTGACGCAGAGCTCTTTGTCCACATACGGAGATAGACGCAAGTTTGGCTGATCATGTTTTTGTCGTGCCTGGGAAACTTGACGCTTTTGTACAAGTTCTACTGACGGCCAACGCTACTGTTGCTGGACACAGTGGACGCACCGCAGCTTAACTGTAAGTCGTCGGGTGTGTGTTTAGTTGTGTGGAATAACAAAGGCAACGATAAAGTTGGCGACGAGCTGGCGGCTAGTTGGGGCGCATGCTAAAGTTAGTTAGCTCGCAAGTTTGTCACCCGTTGTTAGACCCTCGACCGCTAACTGTGAAACTGTTTAAAAGTTTGATTCTTAAAATGGCAACAAATCGACTACCAGTTTAACCTAATGGGTTGTGAAGTGAAACTCTTGAGCTAGTGCATTAGCTATTAGCCTGTCGTAGTTTCGTTGGACGCCTTTAAAACACAGATAATGCACACTTCTCGTGTTTAAAGTAGTTAGATTGTCACCCCCACAACATGTACACAACTAATTGTACAACTTCAATTCTTTAGGAAAGAAGTTTGTTGGCTCCGCCGGTGTTGCTTGCTAGCGTCGATGTTAGCAGCTAGCCTGTTCGTGTAAATGCTGTTGCCTAGAATGGACCTGTTGAACTCTCAGTACCTGGACAAGATGAACAACAACATCGGGAGACTGCACTTTGGAGGTGGATTTTTCATCATACAATTAGGAAATAACTCCTTTTAGTCAGGCTTTCTGGACTGTTTTATTCTTTGCAACATAACATGCTCCGTAAAAGAAGAATTCTATTGATCTTTGCAACGTGGGTTTGTGTATTGCACACAAGCTTACACAGAAACGTCACGCTTGTGATTTATTTATTGCAGTCATATAACCTGACCGACATAATGCTGGGTTCCACAAGTTTGGATCCTATTTCCGATTGACTTTCCCACTGTCAAGTGCAGTCTGAATGTCTTGCTGTCAGTCTCCTTTGAAGTGTTCTGTTAAAGTCACCACAGTGATGTATTGTGCTGTATTCATCTATTCTAAGGTGACGCTTGCCATTGATGTTACTGCCACCTTGTATGGAAGAAACTGTTGGGTAAAAATTGCATTGTGGGGCACACCTACCTCTCCTTTTGTAGACTTGATTAGTTTATTTCAAGCTTATTAAATGCAGCATGTGCTTATGCGCCTGTTGTAATATTTGATTCAGATTTGATGATTTCTTTCAATAGATGAGTCCAGGACACCCTCGCTGCCTTCTGCTATATCAAATATAAGCGGGCCGCCCCCTCTCTGCCCCAGTAAACGGAAGTACGGCGATGAACAAACGAAGGACCAAATGAATTGTGACGACGACCACATGACCAAAATGAGCAGATTGTTTGCAACTCACCTGTAAGCTCTTCCTCTGCTGCAATGTTTCACAACCTAAATGCCTGTCTGTCCTGTACACCACCAATTTAAAGCTTTTGTTATTTTAGCTATACCTGTGAACCTGTTGAAGGAATTCTTCTTGTCCTATTGTGTATAAAACAACAATAGAATTGACCCCCTGACAGATTTATAAGTTACTGCCTTTTAGAGCTACCAGCCCCATTGACATCTCATTGGTTTAACCCTTCTCTACTCGCATTACATTTTTCTTGTTTTTATTCAGGGCTCGTCCCTCTGCTGGGGACAACCGCAATGAACACTGGAGCCTGAGCCACAGTCCCGTGGAGCACATCAGCTCTTCCTCCAACGGTCTCCATGGGAACCATCTGTACGCTTCCATTTCAGGCTACGCTGTGGACCAGCCGCTGGCTCTGACCAAAAGCAGCCTTGACAATGCAGTTGGGGGCAGCGAGAGGTCCGCTGTCAGTGCAGCTGTCGAGCGGCAGCAGGTACGATGGTCAACATGTCTTCCTTACTCACAAGTACGTGAACACCTGTTTTATGAGCGATCCAGTATGTGATTGAATGACTCAGTCATACTGAGATAGGTCACGACCTTCCAATTTTGTTTCCCCTCACACAATACCGTCCTTTATTTATTTATTTTTTGTCCACCTTCAGAATCGCCCCTCTGTTATTACCTGTGCTCCTGCAAGCAACCGCAATTGTAAACTCTCTCACTGCCACATGAATGGCTGCTCTCCGAGCTCAACCTTTGATGAGAGAAAGACCAACGGTAAGCCCCTCGTCATCACTAACATGTGCCCCAAATACTGCACAAGGATACACGGTGTCATTGATTTGACCCAGTCGTTCCTGAGATAGCAGGTGGCCATGCGGCCTTTTGCCGAACAAATTAAAATTCAGTAGGCTGTAGCTCTGATTGACCTAAAATTTGAGTTTTATTGTTGTGCCGTCACTATCAAAAAGTACCGTAAGCTTGATTAAATTGCAAAATCCATGTGTTTAAATTTTTCATATATATATATATATATATATATATATTTTTTGGGGAGTGTTTTGGCATCGAATGGCCCTCGAACGTTCAGGCTAGAACTGAGTGTGCCTTCTTGTGCTGGGTGGCATCGTATTATTCTTCAGCCGTTGCGCAAACTATTTCATTGGGTGCAATTTGTAACCTCAGAACCGCCTTTGTCGTTGTAAATTGAGGGCCCTCTCTGTCTAGATAAAAAAAACTACTGTATCTCGATATCTAACATTACAACAATACAAGCAAGTGCCCTTTTCTGTCACTGAAATTATGAAATATTATCATAATATAATAATTTTGCAGGTTGGAAATGTTCTCAATGACTAGGTTGACTTTGGATGATGAGGCCAAAACAGGTCGGATGTCTATTTTACCACTAGGTGTCACACTTGACTCAGCGCTATGCTTCTGGTGTTGTGCATGTCTGTGTTGTCTTTGCCCACATCCAGGGAGAACGACTTTTCTTCTTGCGGCCCCTACAAAAGTAATTTGAAGAAGTCAATTTTATCTCAAAAATAGAGAAAAAGAATATTCAACATATGTCTGTGTTTTTAAATGTGTGTTTTTGTGCATATTGTCCCCTCCCAAAGGAGGATTATTGGAAATGGAAAGCTAATGCCTTTGTTTTTGTTGTATACTGAAGACATTTTGGTTTCAGGGCAAAAGATGAATGAGGCCAAAATGCAGAAGTCCAATTTTTATTTCATGCTATTTAAATCAATACATGTTAACTCGGCACAGGAGCACCTTTTGTTTGAAGCCATCCACTTTTTAAGTGAGCAAGGAGTGTTTTGGCATCGAATGGCCCTCGAACGTTCAGGCTAGAACTGAGTGTGCCTTCTTGTGCTGGGTGGCATCGTATTATTCTTCAGCCGTTGCGCAAACTATTTCATTGGGTGCAATTTGTAACCTCAGAACCGCCTTTGTCGTTGTAAATTGAGGGCCCTCTCTGTCTAGATAAAAAAAACTACTGTATCTCGATATCTAACATTACAACAATACAAGCAAGTGCCCTTTTCTGTCACTGAAATTATGAAATATTATCATAATATAATAATTTTGCAGGTTGGAAATGTTCTCAATGACTAGGTTGACTTTGGATGATGAGGCCAAAACAGGTCGGATGTCTATTTTACCACTAGGTGTCACACTTGACTCAGCGCTATGCTTCTGGTGTTGTGCATGTCTGTGTTGTCTTTGCCCACATCCAGGGAGAACGACTTTTCTTCTTGCGGCCCCTACAAAAGTAATTTGAAGAAGTCAATTTTATCTCAAAAATAGAGAAAAAGAATATTCAACATATGTCTGTGTTTTTAAATGTGTGTTTTTGTGCATATTGTCCCCTCCCAAAGGAGGATTATTGGAAATGGAAAGCTAATGCCTTTGTTTTTGTTGTATACTGAAGACATTTTGGTTTCAGGGCAAAAGATGAATGAGGCCAAAATGCAGAAGTCCAATTTTTATTTCATGCTATTTAAATCAATACATGTTAACTCGGCACAGGAGCACCTTTTGTTTGAAGCCATCCACTTTTTAAGTGAGCAAAAGTAGTGGAACAGACATTATTAAATGAACGTCAAGTGATTAATGTGGTGTTTTCGGTGGCCAAAGCATCACTTGTAATAACCGCATCAAGCCTGCGACCCGTTGACTTGACCGGACTGTTGCGTTCTTCATTCGAAGGGCTTTTCCAGGTCTTCACTGCAGCCTCTTTAAGTTTTTGTTTCTGGGCGCTTCTCACTCCAGTCTACTCTTCAGGAGCTAACATGTATGTTCTATTGGGTTAAGGTCCCGTGATTGATGTGTTGGCCGTGCATTTGAGGTCATTGTCTTGTTGCATGATGAAGCTTCCAGTAAAGTAGAAGTAAAGCGCCTGACAAAATGGTTTGCTGAACTTCAGAATTCATTCTGCTGGCATACCATCATGAGTTAGGTCTTCAATCAAGATGAGTGAGCGGATGCCAGAAGCAGCTGTGCAAGCCCAAGTCATGGCATGACCTCCACCATGCTTCAAAGATGAGCTTGTGTTTCTTTCTCTGTACTTTGGCCTTTGAAACTTTATTCCCAAACCATTGTGGCTCATTTTCTTTGCAAAATCCAATCTGGCCCCCAGATTCTTTTTGGGCGGTTTGCATCTTTGGCATGGCCGGTATATTTCTTTTCTGAGTCTTTTTTTGAACAGTGGATTGTGATGCCTTCAGCCTTGCTTTTTGGAGGTCGGCTCTGATGTCACCGACTGTTGTCTTTGGCTATTTCTTTACAATGCTTCTGCCATCAACTGCTGTTGACACGCTTGGCCAACCTGTTTGATGTCTGTTGATCAGTACACCAGTACTTTATTTCTTTTTCCGGACATCCATATTGTTGTACTGGTTGAGAGTGCCACCGAGTGGCATTAGCATCTTGCAACAGACATCCAGAGCTGAAAGAGTCACAGAAAAGCATATCAGTGGATGTCCTTGGACCTGTTCATGACTGGAACACCTGTTGTGAATTTTGCTCCTTGTTGGAGAACAGCAAGTTGTGCAAAAAGTACTGAAACATTGAGCGTTCAAAAGTTTACAAATGATTGAATTAAATCTACCTGAAAAAGAGTTAAGTAAGGTTCATCCTGAAATTTCACCCAAAAGCCAATTAGCATTTTGTCTGTAGTGTGTTTGTGTGTGAATGTGTAAACACACGTGCATGTTTGTGGTTTTCAGCACACATATTTTCATTTCAGCCAACACAGTTTGCGATCCTGTGATTGAAGAACATTTCCGCCGGAGCCTCGGAAGAAACTACAAAGAAGCCGAGCCCTTGACCAACCCGGCGTCCAACTCCGTCTCCATCACAGGCTCAGTGGATGACCACTTTGCCAAGGCACTGGGAGACGCCTGGATCCAGATCAAGGCCAAAGGTGGGGGTCGCCAGACCCCAGAAGCAGATTCATGAAGAGGTGAAAAAAGGTTCCAACAATCACTCGTGGATGTCATGTTCACTCTCTTTTCGAGCTGAGTATCAAATCTTGACAGCCAAGAACAATATAAGACATGGTTTTCGCATTACCGCGTCGAAGGTTCACCCCCCCAACGCTTGCCCTGCAACAAAACGTTTACCAGAAAAACAATGGTGGCTAAATTTACTCCAGGCAGTGTGGACAGATTTTCACGTTGATAATGAGAAAAACAGAACAAACAAGAAACAATTGTCCCTTTTTTCATAGCTGAGGTTCCGTTTATTTACCTGCCACCGCGGTAGCCAAAGAAACGTCTCCCTTGCCTTTCAGCACGCAAGCCGTACATGTTTTAGCAAAATGCGTTTAGATTTCAGTTCGCGCCGCTTTTGTTTCTGTACTACTTGAAACTACGTTCCCCATCTCATTTGCACTATTACAAATCTAATGGTTGATGAAACAGGCTCCCAGTTTGTGATTCGGAACCAGATAATCAAATTGAGACTCCTTTCCCTTGCTTTCTTAAATACACAAAAATAAAGTATTCGAATCCTACAAGATGTCTGTAACTTAAAAGCATGTTTCAAATAGCTGGATTCTGTCACAAGCCTTGCTAAATATTTTCTCAGAATTTATTTTTTATCTAACATTGTAGAAAATACTCACTGCTGGTCCAGTTGTACTCACTTTATTTTTTTTGTATCTGCTTGAGACATCCTGGTAAGAGGTGTGCGTCTTAGCATCCTCTTGAAACCGCAGCCTCTGGAAAGGTTGTCTGAACGCGGTTTGCTAGGCAACATTGCTTCATTACTCCACATAGCTGGAAGCTCCAGCTTTGCATGAGATTGCAAGTGACTAAAACGGAGCTTCTGTTCTTGTTGACTGTATTTCACAGCTGTCGAGCTCCAGTCCTTGATGGCCGCAATCCTGTATCTTTTTGACGTTTCCGTCCTCCGCCAGACTGAATTGAAATGATCATGATCGCTATCAGGCTGCCGCAGAGCTCGCTGAAGTGTTGGAGGAAGGAAACACTGAAAACAAACAGGATAGCGGCCCTCTCGGACCGGAGCTCGACAGCTATGCTTTACTCATTTTGGGCACGTTGGTTTCTTGACCTTTTTGAAAAACCACATTCCCAATTTATTTTGAATCCCATCTCCATTGACCAGGAAAAAAAACGAATGCAGGCATTTTCTTTTAAACAGAGCTGGAAATGCAAATGCAGTGTGGCGTGTGTAACTCACAATTCGGCAACAGACCTGACAGAACCGTCACTTCCTACTCTCAATAACCTACTGTTAGTGTTCTTGGTGGACTAAACGGACGAAATGAGTCATGGTTTGACCAATTGTAAAGATATGGTCCTAAAGTTTTTGTTTTGTAGTTTGTTTTAATTAATCGTCTGACATGATCACACAAACTTAATGTTTCCCAACACTTATTGGCAGGGGATTGTAAATTTGAGTAATTATTATTTGATTTAACAAGAAACTGTATATATCCTTTAATGTTTAGTGAATCCCCTTACATTTGTATTAATCCACATTTTGGAGCTGTTACACGTTTTCTTGTCTTCCTATTTTACTGTACTCTTACGTGACCATCATTGCGCAGCGCGGAATGATCCTGTGTATTTCGTTTGTATTGCGTGAGGCATATTTGTATGTAGCGTGGAAGTTCCCGATTCTTTTCCCATCCAATTCATCTTTTCTATCCCTTGATTCCTTTCCCCGCCGTGAAGAGATGGTGCACGTGCAGGAACACATCAGTCTTTTGCATGAAGAGCTCGGCCAAGATTCACATGTCCGCGAGACCAGTTAAGAGTCTGACATTTCTGTGCATAAATACATTGGGCTGGAGGGAGGGATTACCACCGACTTTGACTTGTTTGACACAAGCAGATTTTTCACTCGCATATGTGCGGTATCAGCCCGTTGGTATTTAATTCCTTTATTTAGACAGACTGTATCACAAAGACTTTTTACAAAAACCTACCGTGTCATGTATCGCCGCATAGATGAGGAAAAACGATGCATTTGTACACACGGTTCCGTATTTCTCTGGAAGAAAATGCCAGTGTTTTATATTCAATGTCTTCCAAATAAACACAGAAAAATAAAATGTAACTTTGTGCGCTTGTTCTTTCTTCAACTGATGTGACCGTGTTGTGATGACAGCAAAACATTTACTTGGCATTCTAGGGTGAACTATTTCTGGACTAAGTGCTTATGATTGAGAGCAGGCTCTTACTCTTGATTGTGCACCGGCAATTTGGCAAAACAAATTAGGAACCCAGTATGTCGTCATCCTCATCTTTCTGTCTCTCTTATAGGCAATCAACACAAAAGCTTACACTGAGAAAAGCACTTGTACAACAGAATCTTTCACTTGTCTTTTTATTGGACACGTGCAAGAGCTTGTGCAGCTGAGGGTGGGTTTAAGACCTCCACGTGTAAGCTACCCCCAACGCCATAATGGTCACTAAAAGAACTGCAATGCCCTTTACTTTGGAGTCAGCCAATCCTCCATCAAGCGCCACCAGCTGGTCCAGAATGCCGCTGCTCGCCTCTTGACTGGTACTCGTAAGAGGGTTCACATAACTCCGACTCTGGCATCCCGTCACTGGCTCCCTATACATTTTAGAGTTATTTTCAAGATCCTATTATTTGTTTTCAAATCTCTAAATGACCTCGCGCCACCTTACCTCTCTGAGCTCATCCGCCCCTACACACCTGCCTGGCGCCTCAGGTCTGCGGACCAGACATGATTAGAAGTACCGAGAACTAAACGGAGGCTCAGAGGGGATCGAGCCTTTTCCGTTGCTGGTCCCTCTCTGGAATGGCCTCCCGCTGAACATTTGGCAAGCCTCCTCACTGCCCATCTTTAAAACCCGCCTCAAGACTCACTTGTATTCTTTGGCATTTGACTCAGCATGACCCAAATTATGATCTTAGTTATTCTGCTTGGTGCTCTCTCCCGTCTTTATTACTGATTTGTTGCTTTGCTTTACTGTTGTATATGTTAGTTGCTCCATTACAGCACGTTGTGTACAGCGATGGCTGTTTGAAAGTGCTCTATAAATACATTTGAGTTGAGAACCGGGCACTGCGCTTTTTGTAGACCAGATTTTGGGTTAATACTGCCCTGGACAGAAATGGTCGTATCAATCATTTGTTGCACAACCTTTTGCGGCAATCACAGCAATGCACTTGAGTCTCTCTCAAGCGCTCAATTGAGACAGCCGGTATTTTGGTCCACTCGCGGTGTCTTAGGTTTGAAGGGTGCCTTCGCTAAAATGACGTTTCAGTCCCTTCATCCTCATAGAGGTGTAGATTGGGCCTTTTCATAGAAGGCCACCTGAGACCAGTCCAGAGTTGTTTTTCCTGTCGCTGTTCTCGGGTTTGTAGCTGTAGTTTCCTGTAGGGTACAAATTGATGCCTCTCTGTTTGCAGTTGATTACAGTCGCTCTTTGCGGGACTCTGTGTCTTGATGGAAAGCTCACAGAGAGAAACCGTTGATGGCCCCAGTGTAAAACGGACTCCGTTTTTGACATTGTCTTTGCTACCAGCAGATGGCAGTGTACACACACGATTCAGACTTCTCTGTCCATTCAAGATCAAACAAAGACTTGTGCATCGCTTTTCAGGTGAGATTGGTGTGGATTTAGTCTATTCTCATGGTGTCTCCTGGTAATGTGCAAATGCGCGCTGCATGCTAACGAGATGTAGAGGCAAGAAGACGTTGCGTAAATGCTCAGCACAATGTGTCTCTGTTCCCATCTCAGCCTCTCAGGCTTCTTCTTATATGCCTATTGGAGACATGGAGTTCGCGGTCTCCGGATAAAAATAGTACCTGCTGAATGAAATGTGAACGAGTGTATCTATACTCTATTTTAGCTAATTTGAATGTGCTCAGCATCATTCATCAGGAATATTGTCAAACTAGGGAAATATTTTTTCCCCCTCTCTCTTCAGTTAATAACCCCCCCCCCCCAGGCTAGAATCTGCTCCAAACCCCCTCAAATAGACCGCTGCTTCGACACGATTAGAATCAGCTATACCAACCTCAATAGCCCATCTTCTGATGCATCATGCCTTTCAAGGAAGCCTACGTTCCTGTGGCATTATGACTGAAAGATCCACATTTTACTGTTTGTGCAAAACCAGTCCCTGCATAGACCACCGCAGACGTCAGGTTTCACTGGCGGTCTGACAGGAAAAGAGCGGCTAAATCAAGATGACTCATCAGGGTCACGCCAATTTCACCTTGGCCTCTTGCGGTGCACGGCGGCCAGCAGGAGCATGACATCTTGACGACCGCTTTACAACAATAACAGGAGCAAGCGATTGTGCCGCTGTGAGATGTGGTCAAGACACCGTCCTCTCGATTTTCTCTTCATGGTTACGTAAAAGGCAAGAGCCAATGACTGGGCTCCGACAGAGCATCACTTTGCATGTGCTACTGAGTTCTAATTAATCCAATTGGATAAAGGCATGATTTTACTATAGGCTCAAAAGGGAAATGTTGTTGCCTCATACATACTGGCTGATATCGTAGTCTTCACAAATGGATGATGGAACACGGCTTTTTCCGTAATTTGTTGTGCCCGAATAGAATGCACCCCTATCCACAGCATCCCCGAGCACTCGACGTCTGGGGAATTTGCATGATTGCCTGTAGATTATTTGAGCATTATCTATTCCCCCTCCTTGCCGTCTTTCTTCAGTGGCTCTTTGCTGTGATGATGCACACACATCCTTGGGCTAAAGAATCTAAAATAGATCATACAAGCAACTGGAGTAGATGCACAGGGAGAGGAAGTGGCTCACGGGCAGACTTGAGTCATGCTGGCAAGATCATGCACCCTGAGCTGACAGCCCAACACGCCAGATTACAGAGTACGCCGTCTCCAAAATGTAGCCTCAGCCTCACATTTGGCCGCAAATGTTCAGAACCACGATCGATTTGCCAACATATTCGTCTTAAATGGATCCGGTTGGTCGCTAGCACAAAAATGGACCTGATGACCATCTTGAGCTCAAGACATTGTAGATCATTCTTTGTGTCACGTGGACTGCTGGCAATGGCATAACCTTTGTGGAGGGAAGACAAGACGCGGTCACTGTGGATCACAGTCTCCCACGGAACAGAAGCAGACCCTGTCAGGGCATCTCAACATCAGCTTTTAGCCGCACACCACCACCAACTCACTACTGATCGCTCTTTTCCCCTCACATCCTCCCTCCACCAGCTCAGACAGTTCCTTCTTGATGAGTCCTGCACGCCCCCGCCCCCCACCCCCCTGAACACACGTTACATGGATGTACCGATACATTTCTCCTTTATGCTGATCGCTGCCTCAACTGTCACTTTGACCTCTTTAGTTGTGCTCATTTGGACCACCGTATGGCGCGGCGCACTTGCCTGTATTTCCCACTGATAGACTTGGCTGGGATTGCAGTAGGATTGCATTTATAATTGACTGATTTGTCAATGATTGATTTGTAGGGCCATCTGGTGCACGACAACATGCAGCCAATATCCCCTCACCCTTATTCTTTGTGTTTCAGAGCAAATGAAATCTGCATGTTTTTAAGAATGAAATTATACAGGATCTTGGGTACATTTAACAATAATCCTAAAAAAAGGTTTTCAAAATCATTAGCACACAATGTTACTGCAGCATTGACAAAGTTTTGCATTGAGTTTTCGCAATTGTAGAACCATTGGCATTCTAGCCAATTTAAATGTTTTTTTTTTTTTTTTTTTTGTCATATAACTTTTTAAGAAAACACATTCTTTATTTTTGCTGGGTATTGTTTTCTTGTTCACGCATTTCTCCCCCATTTCCATTGTAAAATGCCACTTTTTTAACATTCAAGGCTAAAAAACAAATTTGACCACCCAGATGTGAAGGCATTTCGCCCCACAGTAAGAGCTAATGACTACACACTCCCTCCATACCAATATAATGACTACATACCGTGCAATATTGTCTGACCCCCCCAAAAATCTGTGCACTACCCGGATGAAAATTGCTCTACCCCATCATAATGTAGAGACATTCCCCCAAAATATGAAACTGTGTGACATAAGTGTGTCTTTTTTACAATTGCGTACTTTTTTCTTTTTTATAAGATAATATAAGAAGACCTTTATTTGTCTCGCAATGGAGAAATGCAATACATCTTTATTTACATCACACTTTCACAACAGCTGCAGCTGTCACAAAGCGCTGTACAAAACATTTTGACTCAGTGCTGCAAATCGTTCAATGCTGGCCTGTTTTTTATTGTTCCTATGACAGTGGCAAAAACATTTGATTGTATCATTTCTACCAGAAGTGTTTTTTTTTTTTTTTTTTTAATGTACAGTCGACCCGCACTATTCACCCCCTGGGGATTGGGACCGGCTCGGCCCACAAATAGCCAAAATCTGTGTGCAAGAGACGGTCATTGAAATGTATTGCAAAAAATAACAATTAGATTCCCCCCAAATTTCTGAAAACGTTCAATAACGTACGATTGACCCAACAACCCAACTCCCGTCCCCGAAATAAATAAAAATAAATAAACAAATAAATACATAAATAAAGGTTAAAATATTGGAAGAAAATTGGAGAAAAATCTGACTGTATATGCTAAGAAATTTTGGATAATTAACGATGGCAGCATGGAATGTCCCTGGAGTGAACGAGATTGTGTTTGCTGTGATGTCTTATTTTGCTGGTCCCATCAACAACGTCATATAGCTCACGCGGCAAATTATGACATTACAACCGAGCACGTGTTCTGCATACAAATGCAAAATATCACCCGATCCGATCCAGCCGACGAGACCTTTGTAAAGTCTAAGCAAAAACTCCGATTGGGATTTAACATCAAAAGGATCATGATTTTATTCACCGACATGATTTTGCAAATGAATCACAACTCTTTTTACTGTAATTTAACAAGATTATTTCACGCATGACACGATCCATCGAATAGATCTGGTGGGCCACTGCCCCATTTGCCCCTCATGCTAAATATTCACTGATGGAGATGAACATGAACTAAATGTTGGCATCGTCACTCTGGGGCATTTTCATGTCTCATTATGAGGTCCGTTAAGGCCAACGTTATCT